GTACACTTCCATTTATTTCTGACTTCTTTTTTGTCCACAATGACAACCCTTCTAGGCACGAACAATAAACAAATCTATAACAAACATCATTTGTCGTCGTCGTCGTTGTCGTCCAACCCGACAGACAGAGAGCAAACATTAAATTTTTCGACGTCACCAAACGACAAGCCGACAACAACAACAACAGCAGCAAACCGAATTACGACAGTTGCGATTGAAAGTGAATTTGTTGTTGATGGTAATTGTTATCCTCTCTCTCTCTCTCCCTCACACACACACACACACACTTCTTCCGGACTCTCCCTTTTTATACCCTCAGCCATATGGCTACAGAGGGTATATATCATTTGATACGGTCAAAACGTGCCTAGTCGAAATAACGGTGTTAGACCCTAGGTCTCTTTGGACCAAATCCGTTTCAGAACATTTGGAGTTAATCTAGTGATGTCCGTCCGTCCGTCCGTCCGTCCGTCTGTCTGTCTGTCTGTCTGTCTGGCTGGCTGGTGCGCACGATAACTCTCGAAGGGAGTATCCGATTTGTTCCAAACTTGGTACGTCGTAATATTCTTGTCAAACTTAGATCGAGTTCGGAGATGGGCAAGATCGGTCCACTCCTTCTGGTACCTCCCCCACAAAAGGTCGAAATTTGCAAAAAATTTATTCTTTGCACAGAAAGAGAATGGATAATCCGATTTTGCTCCAACTTTGTAAATCCTAATATTTGCATCAGTTCTAGGTCAAGTGTGAAAACGGACAATATCAGTCCACTCCATCAAGTACCTCCCCCACAAATGGTCAAAATTTTGAATAATTACAACTCTCATAAAATGTGATTTAAGAGTCCGATTGTCTTCAAATTTTACACATCCCAATATTTATATCAACCCAAGGTCTGGTGCTAAAACGGGCAATATCGGTCCACTACTTGTGGTACCTCCCCCACAAAAGGTCGAAACTTTCAAAATATATATTTTTTGCACAGAAAGAAAAACGATGATCAGATTTTGCTCCAACTTTGCAAATCCTAATATTTGCAATAGTGCTAGGTCTGGTCCGAAAATGAACAATATCGGTTCACTCCTTCAAGAACCTCCCCCACAAATGGTCAAAATTTTGAATAATAACAACTCTCATAAAGTGTGATTTAAGAGTTCGATTGTCTTCAAATTTCACCCATCCCAATCATTTTATTAGCCATGGTCTGGTGTTAAGACGGAGTATATCGGTCCACTTCTTCTGGTGACTCCCCCACAAATGGTCGAAATATTTTCTGCACAGAAAGGGAGGCAATAATCTACTTTGAAAAACATAACAGTCAAAGAAAGCGAAAGAAAGGATCCAACTCTCTTCAAATTTCACACATACAATAATTTTTGCTAACACCAGATCTCTTGTGAAGATGCTATATATCCGCGAATACCTGCTGGTACCTCACCCACAAAGGGACACAATTTTCAATATTTTTATCTATCATAAATTGCGAAGCAACTCAGCGATTCTTTACAATTGCTATACTTTATTTTTATACATATGTTTATTTTTATATATAATGATATTTATATCATATTTATTTAGGTGGGATACGAAATGGTCAATATTGACCGTTTCTTTCAAAACCCACTCCGTAGAAGGTGAAGAGGGCTGAGGGTATACATCTGTCGGCAAAACCGACCGATACTTTTTCACTTGTTTCAAAGTGTTTCAATGAGAGAAAGAAAGAAAATATGCGTGTGTCGGCCTGTCTGTCTGTCTGTCGAAAGTACTTTCCTTCATTCCGGGGAAATTAATTAAATTATAATTTATTTTGTTCCCTCCACATAATGTACATCAACAATTCCAATCTTTACAATGTCAAATTTCCTTTTCGATTTAATTTCAAACCGCAACTTAACGATGGAAATGATTTCGGTACCTATTTTGTGACGCTGTTAGCCACAGGATAAGGCACAAACAAAACATTTGCCAAATTCAAGATTCTACCCTATGTATTTTATCTATGGAATTTATTCCAGGGGATATTTGATTTGTAGCCTTCTAACTGTAAAAAAAAGTTCTATATGAAGGATATCTACAGGAGTTTTTTTCTATCCGTAGGAAATATTAAATAGATAAAACTTGAATGGAATCGAAATTAGGTTAAATGGGCCAAAAAATGTGTAACACCTAGAAATAGCGGTTATAGACCCAGTATGTAGTATACCTATTATCATATCTCGGCGAGAAAAGTCGATCTAGCTTTGTGCGTCCGTCCCTCTGTCCATGTTAAATTGTAATCATTATAGTGGTCGTAATTACGGTGCGATCTTTAAGATTGGATTTAGAGTTAGAGTAGAGTCAAAATAGGAACCTATTCTTTTTAAAGACAGAAAATTGTACTTCTGGTCAATAAAATACCGAATTTGGGCTATACAAAAACGACGTGGGCCTGTATACATTGTGAACTCCAAATATAACACTTCTATAAAAAATGTGGAAGAAATCATGAAAATATCGAATATCGGGAAGTACCGTTGTATGTCAGCTATACGAACATTTGGACTTACACAGTCAATGTGCTTATAGATCAGAAATTTAAATGAAAAGTGCCACTAAAATCATCTGAATATCGCAAATTGGGAGGCAGGTCTATTTCGCATCTGACCTAAAGCTTAAATAAACATTGCTATACAACATAATTAATTTAAAATATTTTTTTTTTATACCCTCCACCATAGTATGGAGGGTATATTAAGATTGTCATTCCGTTTGTAACACCTCGAAATATACATTTTCGACCCCACAAAGTATATATATTCTTGATTAGTATAAAATTCTATGTCGATGTCCGTCTATGCGTCTGTGGAAATCACTCTAGCTTCCGAACGAAATGAAGTAGGTTGATAAAATTTTACTCAAATGTGTACTATGTCTGCAGGACTTTTGGTATTGAAAATGGGCCATGTAGGTCCACGTCTTCGTATAGCCCCCATATAACGGTACCTTCCGATATGCGGTATTTTGATGATTCTAGCGACATTTTTTACCGGAATTGTTTCAAAATTAATATTTAAAGTTCGTAATAGATGCTACGGCTTAAGACAGAAAATGGGTCATGTAAATCCACGTCTTCCTATAGCCCCCATATAACGGTACCTCCCGATATTCGGTTTTTTTGATGATTTTAGCGACGTTATTTACTGGAATTATTTCAAATTTGGTATTTGAAGTTAGTAATGGATACTACAGCCTATGACAGAAATTGTCTGTCTTCGTATAGCCCCCATTTAACGGTACCGCCCGATATTCGGCATTTTCAAGATTTTAGCGACATTATTTACCGGAATTGTTTCAAATTTCGCCTGATTTTGGCTTAAATCTGGATTAGTAAAAACTTTTCAATTTTTTTAAATTTTTTTCCAGTGGTAGGTATTTTTACCCTGATCCCTGGAAACAATTTTTTTCTTGGAAGACGGAGCCAGGACCCCATATTTTTGAACCGAAGATCCGGATCCACTAACCCAATATAGGTATCGTTCGAAATGAAAATACCTATCCAACAAGTGGTCACATGTAATTTTTAAGCGATTCGGAAGTTATAGTAAAATTATTGATTTTTTGGACACGGATTTAAAAAAAAAAACCCAAGGTGTCGAAAAAGGGTCCATTATGGGGGTCAACCAAATTTATGCCAAATTATTGCTGACACTCTTACCTTTACAAAATCCAATCAAATTTGTGCTAATACCTTTTCTGTGTCCAGAGATATGGGTCTTTCCACCCGCATAACCCGATTCTCACCACTTCACTAAAATTATGTTTTCAATAAAAAGAGGTTTATTTCGCGTAGCCGGGATTGGAATTACTAAAGTATCAAATTTAGAAAACTTTGGTTTGCGTTAGCCAGTGAAGGACATACCCAGAGGAGAAAATCTCAAGCCCAGGCCGAAAAAAAACTTTAGTTCGCGTAGTCGGTTGAACGTACCCAGAAGAGAACTTCTCTGAATCAAGAAAAGGTGGCTGGACAGGTATTTTCATAAGCTTTCAAACTATACCTATATTGTCTATATCGGGTAAGTGGATCCGGGTCCAAAAAAATCTATATTTTGTTGGATAGGTATTTTCATAAGCTTTCCAAGGATACCTATATTGTCTATATCGGGTAAGTGGATGCGGGTATAGTCCGGGTCTTGAACCCGGAAAAAATTGTTTTCGGTGATCAGGTTAAAGATACCTAAGCTAGAGTTACGCCTGTTGTTTGAAGAAGATCGTGCAACAGTGGACTTATTGCGAGGCGAGTTCGGTGAACATTTTATTTCACGTTCGGCGCCGGTCAATTAGCCACCTAGATCGTGGGCAGTCGCGGTCGACATTTGCATGAAAAAAAACCTTCAAGCATCAAATTATATGGACCTTTAAATATCACGCTTTATTCACATTATTATAATTAAACATTCGAAGCATGTTCAAGTTGAATCCCCCCAATTAATATGTTGATTCCGAGAATCCAGCTACTTGGCAACTCTACGCCCTTTAAAATACAAAGCAGAAGAGGGCGTAGAACCCCAACATCCAACATCATCTTTTGTGAAGTACGAAAAAAGAAAATAAAACACAAAATAATGAGACAGAATGAAGCAAACACACACACACACAGCCACACTCACACACACGCGAACACATGAGAGCAACACAGAACAACAACAAGAAAGAGTCGAACACACAAAATAACTCTGAATTAAACAAAAAAAAATCAGCAAATCTACTAACAAAGGAAATTTCAATGAATGACTGAGTGACTGACTGGCTGGATGGCTGGCTGGCTGGATGGCTGTCTGACTGGATATGGCTAAGAGATACTACTACACACAAGTGGGCAAAAATGTCTCTACGGCTCGGATGGAGCCCAGACACCAACTGGTCGGTCTCACCAATTGGCAACACTTGCAAAAGTTTACATAAATTTTTATAAATAAATAATTTGCTTTTAAAACAAATAAAAAAGAAAACTCCATTGTATTTACCCTTAGAGCAGCTAAATCGATATCGTCCAATGGACAATTCACAGAGGCGAGTTGTTGGTGCGCCATTTTGATTTGCTATTTTTGTTGATTTTGTTTTCCTTTCCTCTGTCGCTGTTGCTGTTTTTCTTGTTGTATTATTTTTCCTTTTTTTGCAACACAAATAAGAGAAAATAACTTTAAAAGAAATATCTTTCAGTTGTTGTTTTCGTTATTTTTGTCTTCTTCTTCTTGTCTTCTATAGGTGTTGTTTCGTTTTGGTTTTTAGCACTGTGAAGAACTCCACCATACACACACACCAAACAGAGAAGAGAACACAATTCGTCGTTAAATATTAATTTTTTATTTCTCCTCGATTATTATTATATGTATATTTGTTGGAGTTGTTGTTCCCGTTGACGGACGTCGTCGTCGTCGTTATTCATAAGTACATTCTTTACACACATGCATACGCACACAATGTGGAAGAGAGCGAGAACGGTGGGGGCGACACGAGACGGAAGAAATAAAACAAACACTTTCACAACTGTGTGACGACAGCGGGTGGCGGCGACGGCGACGGCAGCAGCGGAGGCGGAAACAAAAGAACCCAGAAATATAAAAATAATAGGATAAAACTTGTTTATAGAAGAATTAGGCAGAACAGGAAGAAGAGAGAAAACACAAAACGACAACAGGAAGGTGGATGGATATACACTACTCGCTCGGCTCACAGAGCCACTGCTGGCTGCTGTCGTCACCGCTGGAAAAGAATTGCATTTGCACTTATTCTATTTCTCCAACTTCTGCTCTTTGCTGCCCTGCTCTTTGGTTACACTTTTTAATCACTTTTCCAGTTTTTCTTTCATTTTCACACATCTCTCTCACCAGAGGGCGAAGCCGATGTGAAATTCCCGGCGGCGGCGGCTAAGCACAAAAAAGCCGGCGGCGGCTAAAAGTCGACTGCAGCCGAAAGAGAATCGGCGGCGGCTAAAAGTCGGCTACAGTCTACTAACTAATTTGATAAAAATGGTTCGCCGACCGCATTGTTATCATGAACAAACAATTGTATTTTTATACCCTACACCACAAGGTGGTCAGGGTATTATGTCTTTGTGCATTTGTCTGTAACAGGCAAAAGGAAACGAGATAGACCCATAGTTCCTTTTGATGATCTGCATAGAATCACATTCTGAGTCGATTTATGCATGTCCGTCCGTCCGTCTGTCCATGTATTTTTGTAAACAAAGTACAGTTCGCATTTATTGCCATATCCAGATGAAATTTTTCACAAATCATTTGTTTGGCCCAAGGACGAACCCTATTGAAATTGGAGATAATTGGTCAAAATTTAGATATAGCTCCCATATATATTTTCGTCCGATTTGCCTTTTATTGTGCACCAAACGTTTAATATCAGCCCGAATAGTATGGAATTTTGCACATATTAGGCCTGAAAATAAGTGTGCCAAATTTGATCAGAATCTGTTCAGATATAGCTATAGCTCCCATAAATATTGTTCATCCGATTTGTTATTTTTGTCCTCCGCAGCCATAATATGCACTCTGTAAAAAAAATATTTGGGGAAATATATCAAGTGCAGCTCAGAAATACATTTGCTAAATTTTATCGAGATCGGTACAGATTTGAATATAGATCCCATATATAATTTCGTCGGATTTACCTTTTTTGTGCACCAAACGTCTAATAGTTGCCCAATGAATGGATGAAACTTGGCACTTCGTAACAACGATATTCAGGGAAATATATCAAATACAGCTCAGAAATATCTTTGCCAAATTTTATCGAGATCGGTTCCAATACAAGTCCGAATTTAAAAGATACAAATACTTCGGCATATTTAGTTCTTTGAACTTAAAATTATAATTATAATCATAGCGTGTATGATTGAATTCTGCCATAAACAATTTTAATTGTTATGCGCAGCACTACTAAATTAGCAAAGTGGTGTAGGGTATCATAAAATCGGCCCTGCCCGACTTTAAGACGTTCTTTGCTGGTTTAATATTGCAGAATACAGGCTGCTTGTCTTTGCATTAACAGAATTATTTAAATAAATAGTTTTTAATATATCTTTGGCACATTTTATAAATCTTTTATTAATACTTCTCCTACTTTTGATGAACAAGCAAAAACACAATGACTTTTTTGCAAACCATGTGGCTGCCACTCCATCAAAATTCGTAAATAAAAAAGGTTGCCAAAGGTTTTGTAATGGAAAACAAATAATATTAAAATACAAACATGCTGCATGCATTTTTTTCGAAGGCTTAGTCGACTCAGTCGTCTAAGAATTTGAGCCGATGAGAGCCGCATCCATCGGCGGCGGCTCAGATGACTTAAAAAAAGTCGGCGGCGGCTGTGCGCCGACTGCGAGCCGATCGGCTTCGTGCTCTGTCTCTCACTTTTTACAAAAATATAACTCCAAATTTTCCTTTGCAACAAATTCACATTGGAAAAATATTTTCCAATCTCCTCGATGTTTATGATTCACTTCATCATTTCTTTATAACCGGCCCTTTTTGCAGTATTTCTTTATTCTTTACACGCACACACACACTCAAACTCAAATATACGGCCGTTGCTGCGTTTTTCTTCCACCGATTGATAGATAACTGAAAATTGCCAAAGAACAGAGCACACATAGAGGATAGACAGTAGGAAAACAAGAAATAGAAAAACCCAACAAGATTCTTCTCAGGCAGCAGCAGCTCCATTCCGAGATTTTTTCTCTCTATTTTTTCCCGTCCCGTCCCGTCACGTCACACCACAAACACACAGCAATTTAAAACCTTTTCCTTTGTCGTTTTCTTTGAATATCAAAACATATTTTCAATCATTTTCTCATTGCAAATAATCATTGCTGAATTAGGAAAATATTGTATTATTTTCTTTTGCTCACAGATTCTTTTTATTTCAAACTCAGTGGGATATCGAACAGAAGTTTCAAAACTATTTTATGTCTACTTCCACGCCCGACTTTTTCTTTTCCAACATCGCGAGCCAACTGATTACTGACTCAGATTTGTTCGAATAATCGGAAGAGATTTGAAAACGGAATCAGAAAAAGTGCTGCCAACCGCAGAAACGGATTGAAAGCAGAGCCACAATAAGTGGAAAGAGTTTAAAATGGAAATAAAACAAATGCTGCCAATTTGTGTGGAAAATCAACTCTGTGTTAGTGATTCAGTGGTTGTGTGATTTGTTGTACAACATAAATGTTGACATGTATGACAATATTAGGTGTGTACGATAACATAATGTTTGGACAAAATATCACAAAATGCTTTTCCGCCAACCCAAAAATCCAATAAGTGAGAGTGAGAAAAGAGAGCAATTTTGACAGTTACGGAGAAACATGTACTCAATAAATATTACCCAGTCACATCATCTGATTGAAAAGCAGCAGTTTTGTGACCGGTGCAAAAATGTTTATACATTTCATGCAACAATTTATTTATTTTCATTATTTTTCCCATAATAAACATTCAACACTGCATTACACCATTAAAGGACTAATTTTGCATTCATTTTGAGTTGATGTTCACAAGAGTTAAAAAAAATGTCACGAATACATTTTGCACAACGGCAGGTTTTTTGCTAGATTTTATTAAAAGTTAGTCGATAACTTTATGCAAAATTCGCATGCGCGAGACAAAATTTTTCAAGTACATGTTACTGAGTAATTTCTACTGAAAACGTTACCGTACATACCTATATACAAGTTTTATATTTTTTTTCAGATAAGTTAATTGACAAAAAAAAAAAAGACTTGTAAATTACAGCGAAAAAAAAGTATTTCGCCTTGACACAATAGCATTGCAGCGAATGTATGTTTTCTCAATTTTGGCAACTGTTGACCTTTCCGAAGCAGTTGGCCAATTCGTATCTGACCTAAGACTGATATGAATATTACAAGCGTACTAGATTGGGACTATATCGACTACTTCCTGTACTTTATATGTGATATGTGCACATTATTTTTTTTAAGATTTGGAAATATGCGTGAGGTAACAAATACAGCGGATCGAAGTATTTCATTTTAATACTTAATATATACAGATAAAAATATTGGTATTGTCAAAATTACGAGAAAATCTAATCGGCCCTATTATGATTGTCGTCGGCGTCGCAAAATGAAGTCGAGGCGACAATAATCATATTAGGGTTGTCGTTTTTTGTCGATAGCGACAAATGTTTGCTATTATAATTGTCGATACAACAGTCGACGTGAAGTCGATTTTTAAGAATATCTGTCGCCGTAAAAAATTGTGACGACATTCGGCCCTATTATGGTTGTCGTCGGCGTCGCAAAATGAAGTCGAGACGACAATAATGATATTAGGATTGTCATTTTTTGTCGTTAGCGACAAATGATTGCTATTATAATTGTCGATACAATAGCCGACGTTAGTCGATTTTTAAGAAAATCTGTCGCCGTAAAAAATTGTGACGACATTGTATTTTTTAGTCGACGTTGATATTGTAACCATTTTGTATTTGATATTTGAAAAAAAAAAATGGGCAAAAGGGTTTATCAAAGGTCAGCTAATTTTAAATCAGATTGGAATCCATTGCTACAAAATTAAATGTAAACGGGTCTCCGATAAGAGACTGGCAAAAAGTATGTTAAAATTGAAATTATTTTTGTATGTTTTTATTAGCTAGTTTTTTAAAATTCTTCTAAGTTTGGAAAGATTTAAAATTTAAAACCAAAAAAATTGTGCAGAATAAGGGTAAATACCAGCAGCACTGGAGGTGGCATTTTTAAGCAAATGACTTTGTCGCTTTCGGAGGAGTCTGTCCACCACTAGGTCGTGCACTTGGAATAGAAAATACGGAAAACATAAGTGTAACAGACGTTATAGTTTACAAAAATGAGCAAGTGGACAATGCTGATGACGAGGCTGATGTAACTACTATTGAAGCTTCTCGATCGCCCAGAAAAAACAATGGTAAAAAGTCACCAAGGAAAGTATAAACTATTGAGCTCTTGAAAGAGCGGCATAAACTTTTGGAACAACACAATCAAGAGCCATGCAGTGCAAATATGTTTGTTTGCTGCCTTAGCACTCGCCGCTGCACTACTAATACATTCTCCACTTCATCCCCACTTGAACTTAAAATATGTAACGCATTTATAATATTCATTTTTCCACTATATTTTTCATTTTTTCGAAAGAGACGAAATTAGAATTCAAAATATAAACTAATTTTTATCTTTTTTGTCAATAAAAAAGGAATATTGCCAACGTTTTTTTTTAAGTTGTTGCCAACTTTTATTTTAAACTGTCGATGTCGCTTTTATGTCTTACCGTAATACTATTTTTCACGACAACCGTAATTGGGCCGAATATGTACATTCAATTTTATGCGAAATCAAATTCCACATTCACCACAGGTTTCTAGTTGAGAGACATATTTAGATATAGGAAGTTATAAATTTTTCGCAAGTTATGGCAGATATAAGCATTGGAAATTGTGACCCTTTATGGGTGAGATATCAGAAGGGATTCCAAGATATCTACCATCTTCACAACAGATCTTGCGTTAGCAAAAATATTTGGATATGGGAAATTGGAAGAGAGTTAGTTGTATGCTTGTTTTGCTTTCTTTGAGCATTTTGCTTTTCAAAATTTTGAATCATATGTGGGGGAGGTACCAGAAGAAATGGTCAGATCTCTACCATCTTTATAACAGATCTTGTATTGATAGAAATATTGGGATGTGTCAAGTATGAATGGAATCAGATATTAATTTCGCGTTTTATGAGTTTCATGGATATTCAAAAATTTGACCCTTTGCGGAGGAGGTACTTAATGGAGTGGATCGAAATTGTCCATATTTGCACGTGACCTATCACTGATGCAAATATTACGATTTGAAGTTTTGTGGGGGAAGTACCAGAAAGAGTAGACCGATATTGTCCATCTCCGAACTCGATCTAAGTTTGATAATAATATTGCGATGTACCAAGTTGGGATCAAATCGGATTCTTCCTTCCAGAGTTATCGTACTCACGAGCCAGACGGACGGACAGACATCGCTAGATCGACTCCAAATGTCCTGAAACGGATTTAGTCCCAAGAGGCCTAGGGTCTAAGCCAGCTATTTCGACGTTTTGCCCGCATTATATTATATATACCTTCTCTAACTATATGGCTGATGCTCATAAAACACGAAATTAACATCCGTTTCCATTCAGACTTGGCACATCTCAATATTTGTTTCAACACAAGTTCTGTTATAAATATGGTAGAGATCGGATCATTCCTTCTGGTACCTTCCCCACACAGGGTTCACGATTTTGAAAAAGAAAACGCTCAAAGAAAGCGAAATAAGCATCAAATTTATGACTTCCCATAAAATTATATATAAATGTTAGATTTTCTTGAAACTTTGTCCATACCGATATTTTTATCTGCATTAGATGAAGTATGAAAATGGAATACTTCGGTCGACTATATCTGGTATCTCACACACATTTTAACAATTTCGAAAAATTGTCACATATCTCATAAAAAGTGAAGGTAGTAGTCATATTTATTTAGGTCCGATACGAAATGGACAATATTGGCCCATTCCTTCCGAACCTATGCCATAGAGGGTCAACAATTTGAATAATCATAAGATAAGTCAAAATATATTTAAATAATAGAACATTGATTGAGGTTATACATCTGTCGGCAAATCCGATTGATACTTTTTAACTTGTTTTTCTCCCAATCGAGTTCGCTCAGCATTATTGCTTATTCAAACATTTAATCAAATTAGGGCAGTTTATTTTGATTTTTTTATATTTGAAATGGAAGAATATTGTGATTGCGCAACTGAAAGTGCTGCAAGTAGAAACTACATACTGTATAGGTAAACGAAAAGATCGAAGTTTTGTGCGAAAAATCTTGATTAATATTGGAAAATAAAAAAAGATTTAAACCCAAAGTCACTGAAGTCTAATATACCAAAAACCCAAATAAAACTAAAAATTATCTGTTTGTTAAATATTATTTGTGTCAATTTCTTTTTAGTTACGAAATGCTTAGTAAAATTACAATCGTGATTTCGCTCAGATTCGATTATTTGTGTTATAATTAAAGCACTCACTTAACTAGATCACTATCACGACCACAAACTAAAATCATACTATGGTGGAGGCATAGAAAGTAAGAAAATCGGAAGTGATCACACTTAGAGGAAATACAATCAAACTCAATTAGTCGGTCGGATCGACTAATTGACTTTGACTGTATTTCCTCTAAGTGTGATCACTTTCGATTTTCTTTCTTTCTATACCTCCGCCATAGTATGATTTTAGCATCATTATCCCCCGGAATTGTTTCAAATTTCGTACATGAAGTTCCTAATTGGTACTACAGCCTGTTACCGAAAATTATTAATGCTGGTCTATGTCTTCGTATAGGTCCAATATAGCGGTAAATCCCTATATTGTCTATTTTGATGATTTTGGGACATTATCCACCGAATTTCATTCAAATTTCGTATGTGGAGATTTTAATGGGTACTACAACCTGTGACAGAAAATTGCCGATTCAGGTCGATATCTTTGTATGGTCCCCAAATAATGGTACCTCCCTATATCATTGTGCGACTTTATTCACCGGAATTGTTTCAAAATTCGTAATTGAATATTGTAATGGCCTATGACAAAAATTGCATGTGCACATCCACGTTTTCGTATAGACCTCAGTATAACGGTAACCCCCTATTTTCTGTATTCTTAACATTTTAACAGAATTGTTTATGAATCTTTTTTAATTTTCAAATTCTTAATGGTGGAAAGTATTCAAAGTTCTGCCTGGCTGCATTTCTAATTGTTTTAAAAACTTATACCTTCTTGGAAAAGTTATTTTAATTTGGCAGCATTTTTAACAAAACATTATTCGCAATACTAGCGTTTCTGTTCTGTCGCCTGCCATCTACTGCCTAATAGAAAAATTAAAGCCCATATGCATTTACAATCTTATGTCTTTGATAGTGTATAGCATGTTCAACATTCATTTGGCATTGCCAAAGCAAAGACAACCAAAGACATTACATTGTTGCTATGCTTCGCTAGATGGCATTCGAAGTATTAAAATAATTTTATACTAACATGTCGTGACACTAAAGTGTAAAACACCCCTGTAGGAAATGTCATAGGTGAATAATTATTGAATAACAATTTTAATGGAGATGGAAAGACTGCAACCAACTTCAGATTGCTTTCATTTCTAAGCCACTCGTCCCACAGCTGTTAAAATTATTCCAGTGACAGCTCATTATATTGTTTATAAGCGTACAGAAGTATTTTGATGAGATTTTTCCAGAAAAAAAGTTATTCGTGATGAAATTAAAGCGTGATAGTGTGATTTCTTTATATTTGGCTGGAAAACCACAAGTGGCTATCGCTAGAGCACTTCAGCATTTAAATGTGAATTAATCGTTTGTGTCTCGTACCATTGCTCGTTACCGTGATACTGCTAGCGTAGCCCGACGTCAAGGAAATGGACGGAAGAAAACAGCAACATCAGCAGAAATGGTTCGAAAAGTAAATAGCGACTTGATCGAAACCCGCGTCGCAGTGGCCGAAAAATGGCTCGTGAGCTGAACATATCTCAATATTCCATTCGGAAAATATTTAAAAATGAGCTCGGGGTAAAGCCATTGAAATACCAAAAAGTGCAAGAACTTACACCGCACCAGAAAGAAAGAAAATAAACTCAAAAGAGCTAAAGAGAGACAAAATGATCGGGTTTACTTGCCAAAGAGGTCAGCTGAAAATGTCCAACTTCCGTTGGCCACCAGAACTCAAGCGCCGGTCATGGTGATGGTGTGGGCCGCCATAACAGTCTATGGTCGCTCTTCGCTCGTATTAATCGACCGTGGCATCAGAATAAATGCCGAGTATTATCGCGAAAATATTCAGGAGGGTGTATTAAAGCCTTGGGCACGCAAACATTTTGGCCGCAGAACTTGGACATTCCAACGGGACTTAGCACCATCGCACTCAGCACGCGCTAACCAAGAATGCTTACAAAGTGATGTTCCTCACTTCATTTCCACCGCACAATGGCTACCAAAATCTCCGGATACCAATCCGTTGGACTGTTGTGTCTGAGTATTTTAAAAAGCAAGGTTGGCACTAAAAAATACCAAAGTGTCGAACAACTCAAGCAAGCGCTTCGCCGGGAATGGTCCAAAATACCGCAGAGCAATATTCGGGCAGCGCGTGACGGTTTCATTGGCCGTTTGAAGGATATAAATCGTGCTAAAGCTGACAAATTCGAACAAATCTAAACTTATTCTAAAATTTGATGCCATTTCCGATATTTTTTGTTTTTATTTAATAAAATTAAAAAAATGTAGAAATTATGGCGTTTGACTTTGTTGCAGTTTTTTTATCTCACACTGTATCTGCGAACCTCTTCTGGTAACTCGCCCACAAAGGATTGTGAGACAGGTCAGCGATTCATTACAACTTGCTATAACTGAATATTCCGCTCCACGGGAAACTTGAGATGAATATGGAATTTTTAATTTCGCATAAAATTGGACATAAATGTTCGGGTTTCTTGTAATTTTACCCATACTAATATTTTTATCTGCATTAGATGAAGTATGAAAATGGAATACTTCGGTCGACTATATCTGGAAACTAACGCATATTTTAACATTTTCTAAAAATTATCACATATCTCATATAAAGTGAAGGAAATCCAAACCTGGCAAGTCGCAATATTTATATCAATTTATTTTGGGTCCATTGGGCCAATATTGGCCCATTCCTTCGAAACCTACACCATAGAGGGTCAGAAATTTGAATAATCATAACAGAAGTCAAAATATATTTAAATAAACGGATATTGACTGAGGGTATAGATCTGTCGGCAAAACCGACTGATACTTTTTAACTTGTTGTAAATAAGATTAATAGGCAATACTTATTGCCCCCAAGGAAAATTTCTTATTTATAAAGCATATCTTTAGGAGACGGATTGATACGGTAAAAATATGACAAATACACATAGGTTTAATAGACACATTTTATTCGATCAAATTCTTTAATGACATTTGGATTTATTTTAAGTTTCTGGTCCTTGTTTTTAATACCCCATGGAGGTTTCTTAAAGGAATGCAAACTCAAATGAGAGTGTCTATTTAGGTGCGTTGTTGTGATTATTTTACTTCGATCCCGTGCCCACACGCACACACACACTGTATTCAAAGAACACAAGAGAGCAATGTGACTGAGATATTTTGTGTGAGAGAAAAGAGTTGCCAATGCATGGCGATAATTGACAAAAAGAGCAAGAGAGCGAGAGAGAGAGAGAGCGAGAGAGAGCTCGTATGCAACAAGTACCAAACAAAACCGACTCTTGAATTGAAATTGATGGTGAAACATTTCAAGATTCTGTTTTCCAATTTCAGTTGAGAGATTGTGTTTTAAATCGAGCGGACGTGTGTACGGAAAATAAAATAGCTTCAAATCGTGTTCAAAGTAAACGAAGAAGCAAAACAAAAAAAAGTATATAACCTAGCATTTGCAACAACAAAATAAGCATATTGCCCGAAAAGAAACGACTCAGTCGCAAAGCCAACCAAGATTCTAATTTTGGTGATTTTTGTTTTGGAGCATGAGATAATGTACGAGTAATAGATAATTAATTGCTTGAGATTTATGTTTATGGGAAAAGTGAATATATAAAAAAAATTAAAAATTATTTGCTTGAATACTGTGTGCGAGCGTGTTTTTTTTTTTTAATTTTGCCAATTTAAGCTTAGGAATGTTGTATGGTTAAGTTTGCATGATTTTTTTTTTTTTGAAATTTGCTAAACCAGTTTGTATTTTGTTGCGATGATGTGATGTGCCAGAGTATTTGTGTTAAAATAAAACAAAAAAACAAGAACAAGAAAAACAAGCAATAACCGCAACCAGAGAACCAACCAACTCCAAACCACTCACACACATATGTAAACAATTTTTAGCTGGCTGGCTGGCTGCCGTGTTTTTTGTGGTACAGTGGGTCGTTGGCTGCTCAACGGACGAAGACCCATCGATGAGGGGACAAAATTCCAACAATGCCTGCTGGTTTTCTAGCCAACTTCCAAATAGAAAAATCAAGCCAACACTAGTCACAGGGAAAAAAAGAACAACACGACAAAATAATAAAAACAAAACAATCACACATAACCTACAACAATACAAACAACAACAACAACAACGGTGGGGAGTCAAATCAACAACCAAGCCAGCCGCCTCAACTTATTTTGTGTCTTTCCCTCTCTCTCGAGAGAGGGAGAAAAACAGTGCTGAGCACATTGCGCAGAGTTTCTGTTTTCATTTGTGGCCCATGCTGGTGTTAGCTGCTCTCAAGCTGTAAGGGGCCGCAAAAATTCAAAAACAAAAAAAAAAATATAGCCTCTGGTGTTGCTCACAGCTCTCCAAGAGCTGTTTTGCCATTCATTTCAATCCGTCGTGGCAATCGGTTAAAATCAGCGCGTAGCGAGGCTTGACATTAACAATTGTTAAAATTCTCAAAAAAAAAAAAAAAAAAAAAGAAAAAAACATAAATGCAAAACGCAAAAAAGAAACAATGTTTTTATTAACATTAATTAAAACCAGTTTCAAACAATAATTAACGAAAATTCACTTTATGCTGTCTAAAGTTAGTAAAATATAATTCAAATTAAGAAATGCTATATTACTATCAAAGTTGATTAAATCAATGTGTAAAAAATAAGAAAATAAAAAAATAGTAATAATAATAAAATAAATAAAAATAAAATAGTATAAAATGCAAAACTAATATATATTCATATGAAATGAAAGTGATGTTTGTTACAACGCTTATAACTCACGAACGGCTCGACTGATTTTGACAATCTGCAGCAATTCGGAATGGTCTCCTGGCAAAGATACAAGGATAAGACTAAAAAACGGATAAGAATATGCCAATTAAAATAAGAATATTTTTTTTTTGTTTTTTTTTTTTTGCTAAATGTATTGTTTGTTTTTATACATTCTACCATAAATAGTACGGAGGGTATATTAAGTTTGTAATTCCATTTGCTACACCTTGAAGTAAACATTTTAAAAGCCATATATTTATACCCTTAGCCATAGGGCTACAGAGGGTATATATCTTTTGATACGGCCAAAATATCGAACCTCGTCGAAATAACGGTTTTAGATCAAATCCGTTTCAGGACATTTGGAGTCGATCTTGCGATGTCCGTCCGTCTATCTGCTGGCTGGTGTGCACGATATCTCTCGAAGGGAGTATCCGATTCGATTCAAACTTGGCACATAGTAATATTATTGTCAAACTTAGATTAAGTTCGGAGATGGGCAATATCGGTACGCTCCTTCTGGTACATACCCTACAAAAGCTCGAAATTTTTAAAAAATATATATTTTACTGCACAGAAAGAAAAAAGATAATCCGATTATGCTCCAACTTAGCAAATCCTAATATTTGCATCAGTGCACTTCATCTACAGGGTGGGACAAAAAGACTGCCCCAAAGTCAAATGCCATAATTTTTACATTTTTTTTTCAAATTTTGTTGAATGAAAGCAAAAAATGTCGGAAATAGCACAAAATTTTAGAATAAGTTTAGATTAGTTCGAATTGGTCACTTTTGGCATGAATTATGGCCTACAATGCGTGCTGAGTCCTATTGGAATGTCCAAGGTCTGCGGCCAAAATGTTTGCGTGTCCAAGACTTTAATACACCCTCCAGAATATTTTCGCTATAATATTCTGTATTTATTCTGATGCCACGGTCGATTAATACGAGCGGAGAATGACCATTGGCTGTTATGGCGGCCCACACCATCACACCATGGCCGGCGCTTGAGTTCTGGTGGCCAACCGAAGGTGTAAATTTTCAGCTAACCTCTTTGGCTAGTAAACACGATCAGTTTATTTGTTTACAAACTGCTGGACAACGAATGTTTTCTCATCGGAGAAAACCAAATTCGGCAGTTCACCACTTTCGGCCAAGCGAAGCAACTCTTTAGCTCTTTTGAGTCTATTTTCTTTCTGTTGCGTTGTAAGTTCTTACACTTTTTGGAATTTCAATGGTTTTACCCCGAGCTAATTTTTCAATATTTGCCGAATGGAATATTGCGATATTTTCAGCTCACGAGCCATTTTTTGGCCACTGCGACGCGAGTTTCGTTTAAGTCGCTTCTATACATTTCGAATTATTTCTGCTGATGTTGCTGTTCTCTTCCGTCCACTTCCTTGGCGTCGGGCTACGCTACCAGTATCACGTAGTAGTAACGAGTGATGGTATGAGACACAAAAGATTTATTTACATTTAAATGCTGGAGTGCTCTAACGATAGCCACTTGTGTTTCAGCCAAATATAAAGAAATCCCACTATCACGCTTCAATTCCATCAATTCTGTCACTGGAATAATTTTAACATTTGTCGGACGAGTGGCTTAGAAATGACAGCAGTCTGAAGTTTTTTCATCTCACCCTGTAGTACCTACCCTACAAAGGGTCAACCTTTTGAATATCCATGAAGATCATAAAACATGAAATTAACATCCGATTCCATTCAGACTTGGCACATCTCAATATTTCTATCAACACAATATCTTCTTATATATATATATATATATATCTATAAAAGAGGAAAATGTTTGTCTGTTTGTTTGTTTGTTTGATTGTTTGTTTGTTTGTAATTTATGGACTCGAAAACCGCTGAATAGATTTTCCTGAAAATTTCCACATATACTGCAACATCGCCTGAAAGTAACATAGGCTATATACATTTTTGAATTTCCACTTGGAACTGGAGATATAGCATCAGAATCGGAGGTACCTCCCAAAAATTTAGATTTTATATGCACTTATCTATTGATTGGCTGAAGATACAGTTTCCAAATTTGGAAAACGTAACGGAATTTGGAACAAAAATAAGTTTGCCAAATTATATTGTAATCGGTTCAGATTTGGATATAGCTCCCATATAGATTTTCGACCGATTTCGTTCATTTCATGCCTCAAACACAATATGAATGTTCGATTCCAATGAAATTTGGAATGTGTGACGGGATTTAATCCGAAAATAAATTTGTCAAATTATATTGAAATCGGTTCAGATTTGGATATAGCTCCCATATATATTTTCGGCCGATTTCAAGCATTTGATGCACCAAACACGCTATGTATCCCCAACTTCAATGAAATTTGAAACGTGTGATAGATTTTATCTAAAAAATTGATTTCACAAATTATATTGAAATCGGTTCAGATTTGGATATAGCTCCCATATACATTTTCGGCCGATTTCATGTATTTGGTGAACCAAACACGATATGTATTTCCAATTGTAATGAAATTTAAAATAAGTAACGGAATTGGGAGCCAAAATGAATTTGTCAAATTAAATTGAAATCGGTTCAGATTTGGATATAGCTCCCATATATATTTTCGACCGATTTCATGTATTTGATGCACCAAACACGCTATGTATCTCTAATTTCAATGAAATTTGGAATGTGTAGCGGAAATTAAAACAAATATACATTTGTCAAATTATATTAAAATCGGTTCAGATTTGGATATAGCTCTCATATATATTTTCTACCGATTTCAAGTATTTTATGCACCATACACGATATGTATGTTCGATTCCAGAGAAATTTGGAATATGTAACGGGATTTTGATTAGAAAATAAATTAGTCAAATTATATTAAAATCGGTTCAGATTTGGATATAGCTCCCATATATATTTTCCGCCGATTTCACATATTTGATGCACAAAACACGATACGTATTTTTGATTCCAACGAAATTCGGCATGAGTGGCTAAATTTGGTACAAATATAAATTTGACAAATTATATTCAAATACGCTCAGATTTGATTATAGCTCCCATACATATACTCAGCCGATTTCAAATATTTGATGCACCCAAAGCGAGAGAGACAAAATCTGACACCAGAAAAAATTGCCAAATTATATTGAAATCAGTTGAGGTTTGGATATAGCTAACATATATGTTTCGGCCGATCTCATACATATTATGCACCAAACACGATATATATGACCGATTCCAATGAAATTCAGAAAGTGTGGCGGAATTTGGTTATAATAATAAATGTGATAAATTAATTGGAAATTAGTTAAGATTTGGATATAGCTCCCATATATATATTCTCGGCCGATTTCACATATTTGACGCACCAATTTCAATGAAATATGAAAGGTGTGGCGGAGTTTGGTGTAAAAGTAATTTTTTTTTTTTAATTATATTCAAATCGGATCAGATTGGGATATGATTTTAATAAGAACCATTGACCCACAACGCCTTAGGCTAACACTAAAAAACAACACAACAATTTATTTGAAATACGCTTATTAGGCGAAATATGTTGCTATCCCGAATTCACTAATTGCAATAGAAATGCCACTCAACTTTAAAAGATTGCAGTTTACTGCACGCTTGGTATTTGCTATGAAATAAATAAATCCGAAGGACAAACCCTTCGTGTATGTATGTCATGTTACTGCTTTTCTAATGGTTTTGGTTATTTACGCATTAAAGTAGTGCAATAGTTTTTTTTTAATTTTTAAATTTGTTTTTTTTTTTAACCAACATATATTTGTAAATAAAATTTTGAATGCATATAAAATCAAAAGTGGTAGCGAAGCGCACCGGGTTCAGCTAGTCTTCTATAAAGATGGTAGAGATCAGGTCATTCATTCTGGTACCTCCTCCTTCAAAGGGTCACAGTTTTGAACAATTAAATCTATTATAAAATCTTAAAAAAAACATCGGGTTCTCTTCATATCTCACACATACCACTATTTCTACTAACACAAGATCTGCTGGGAAGATGAAATGTTTCGGCTTACTCATTCTAATTTTGTAAAATATTTTATACCCTCCACCATTCTATGAGCGGTATATTAACTTTGTAACTTCTCGACACATGTGTATTTTGCCAGTAGGCAAAAGGAGAGATACCAGAAGATGACATATCTTGTGAGGGGAGAGATATTTGGATGCGCCAAATTTAAAGAAAATCAGAAGCTTATGTCGCGTTTTATGAATGTTAGAATTAAAAGGATAGAGGTCCACGTCTTCGTATAGCCCCTATATAACGGTACCCCCCGATATTCGGTATTTTGATGATTTGAGCGACATTTTTTAACGGAATCGTTCCAAATTTGGTATTTGAAGTTCGTAATAGATACTGCAGCATAAAACAGAAAATGGGCCATGTAGGTCCACGTCTTCGTATAGCCCCCATATACCATCCCCCCCGATATTTGGTATTTTGATGATTTTGCGACATTATTTACCGGGATTGTTTAAATTTTCGTATGTGAAGTTCGTAATGGATACTTCAGCCCATGCCAGAAAATTGTCTGTGCAGGTCCACGTCTTCGTATAGCCCCCATATAACGGTACCCCCTATATTCGGTGTTTTGATGATTTTTAGCTACATTATAAACAGATTTTTTGTAATAACTTATGACAAAAGTTGCCTATGCAGGTCCACGTCGTCGAATAGGCATTCGGTATTTTTAAGATTTTAACAGAATTTTTAACGGATTTTTTTTTTTTTGGAAATTGTCAAATTTGTACCAAATGGTGGAGGGTATTAAAAGTTGGGCCCGGCCGAACTTACAGCTTTTTTACTTGTTACTTCTTCAAATTGTGCCACTGTATTTATTTTATATAATTGACGAAAATAAAAGTATTGTGCACATGCACAATAAAATAATAATAAAAATATCTGTACAATGCAAAAATGTAAACAAAATTATATGAAAAAGTAAACCGACAAAAACAAATTACACGGCCAGTTATTTTTTATGAACTACGTCATCATAAAAATATATTGCTGAGGTGTGTTTAATTTGTTGTTGTTGTTGTTGTTTTTGTAATTTGTATGAAAACAAGTTTTAGTTTCTCCCGGCGACTGGTGTGTTTTTGCTCTTGCTGTAAATTAAGGTCAAACTGAGCTTTTTCTTCTTCTTTTTTTCTGTTCGCTTCAAACAAGATTGAACTGTTTTCACTTCTCCCCATGGAAAATGGAATCTCACAGAATACGAAAACAAAAAAAAAATATTAACATATTCAAATAAATCGATGTTGTGGTGCTCTCTTGTGTTTCATGTGTTTAAACTTCTCTCTTACTCTCTTTTCTTGCAGCTTCGAACAACATTGTAAACACTGGATGGAGAGAAGTATCTGGTAATGATCAAACCGAAACCGAAGCAACACCGGCCATAAAGCTTACAAACTAAAATCAACAACAACAACAACAACCACAACAACGGTTACAAGTCTAACAACTCGATTCAGTCCAGAGCAACGCTTGGAAAAGAACAGTGTGTGCAAAGATCAAATCAATCGCCGTCATCAACGTGTATAGAAGCTAGAAATACAAAACAAAAAAAGAACGGAGAAAGAAAGAAACAAACAAAAAAGCATAACGTATTTTACCAACAACAAATTATCCCCCTCCGAAAAAAGTACAACTTGTACGGAGCAGACAGCCCAAAAATAAACTCAAAGTTTACCTTGATTTCTTTTCTTCTTTGATATTTTCCGGTTTCTAAAGGTGGTGTAGAAGTAAACGCGAACGTTCTGTTTTTTCTTCTTCTTTTTTACGCGCGATCACCTGGAATTTTTCGTCAAACAAATTGTATTGTTGACTACGACAACAAAAAATCGAAAAATTACAAAGAAAAAATAAAGTGTGTGCGTGTGTTCGTAAACCTTTCTACTCCGACAATTTCTGCAACCTCATCACCGAACATCTGAAAAGGATTTCTGCCTTGTCTTCAAGAAATAAGGGAGAGTCAAATAACTGTTGCCGCTACCTAATATTGGAGTAGAGCTTTTCTTTTCTTTTTTTTGGCGGTTCCACAGAAAATCATTCACGCTGGATTTGGGATATTACGAAGCTGTTAAAGGTAAGTTGAGTATTGAATTGCCCGGTTTTCTCTTTACATTCCGAAATGGACCGGGGGTAATTTTCATTTAGCCTGGAAAATATGGAAATGAGGAGAGTGAGTGTTGCTCTGAATTTACAGAAAAAGAAAAAGTGGAAAACTAAAAAAGAATCAAAAAAGACTGAACTGTGTTTGGAATAAAGAAAAATTGGACAGTACAATAAAATAAACCGGGCTAAGCCAGCTATCCTCAAATTCGGTAAAATGTGATATTTTCGTTGTCGGGATGGATATTCCTATTCTGAATATATTTTGAAACATGATAAGCAACCCACTGGGAACCTGATTTGGTTGGAAATTGAGAGAGCAGAAACCTTCAAAGTAGCGTAAATCAGGAGGATGGAAACTGAATTGTTTTTTTTTTTTTTCGAGGAGTTAAACATCCCACTGATCACCCGAATTGTCAAATTATAGCTAATTTGATTGTATAACGATATAGTTCATTTTCAATACAAAACATCCTAGCAGTACTACAAACATCTGTGACAAATATCATTAATTTATTTTGAAAAATGTTAACTCTGGAGTGGAGTAAGTTTAAAAAAATGGCGCCCGACGTGGGGCTATATTAGATTTTTCTCGAATAAGAACCCTTTTTATACTCTCTGCCATACATAAACCAAGATAACTAAAATTGTACTCAGCCAACGCCAGAAATGAAAAAAGTGGCGCCCAACGTGCGGCTACCTTAAACTTTTTTCGAAGAAGATCTCTTTCGTACATAGTATGGAGTAAAATTTATCCTAGTTATAGCGTTAGTAACTCATCGAAATAAAGCACAAGCGACCGTCAATAAAGTAAAATTTAAAAGTGGCGCCCAATGGGTGGGGTTTTAGACTTTTCTCGAATAAGAGCCGTACCTTACATCGACCGAGGTGACTTAAATTTCACTCAGCCAATGCACAAAACTTCAAGTGGCCAAGTTTAAAAAGTGGCGCCCAAAGCTGGGTAGTTTTTTTCTCTCGAAAAATAACCCTATTTTATACCCTTCACTGTACATTTTATGGAGGAAATATAGCCTTGGTTATTCCCTTAGTAACTCATGGATATAAACTGTATGCGCCCACCAATAAAGTAAGTTAAAGAAGTGGCGCCCAATGTGTGACTTGTTAAACTTTTTATAAACCTTTTTATATCGTCCAAGATATAAGAAGACTAAAACTTTACTCAGCCAACGCAGCTTAGTTTGCAGTCGCCCGATTGTAGAGTATGTTTAAGAAGTGGCGCCCAAAGTGAGTGACTTGTTAGACTTTCCTCGAACAAGAACATTTTTTACACCGTTGACTATACATAGTATGGAGAGTATCTTAGCATTGCTATTCCGTTTATAATTCATCGAAACAATCATTTAAGACCCTATAGAGGAAAAATTATGATTTCTTAAGAGTTATGGGAAAGTTAAAAAACATTGAATTGATGTACGGTCCATAATGACCTGGCATTTACTTTCCAGCAATTCGACTGGTATCTCACGAATAAATACGTCAATGTTGTCTTCCAATGCGTCAATTGAAGCAGGCTCGTCCGTATAGACATGATCTTTAACAAAGCACCACAAAATATAGTCTCAAGGCGTTAAATCGCACTATTTCGGCTGCCAATTGACCGACAGCCCTGAGCTTGAAATTAAATGTTCCACGACCTCGCATTTCACTAAGTCCATAGTTACGCTTTAATGATATGAAAGCGTTTTTCGTTTGTATGATCATGGTTAAATTATAAGCCAAGCTGACAATGTTTGACAGTGAAGCAAAACATGGAACGTGCGTGAGTTGTTTAAAAATATTCCAAAATAATATTAGCAAAAAATCGACCTTTATATTTTTGCTCAGGCAAATTTTTCGTCCTTGGTAGTCAATCAAACTATGAAGCGGATCGACCAAAATGAATTAAATTTATTTCAAACAACGAAATAAAGTACAAGCTCCTGCCAATGAAGTAAATTTTAAAAGTGGCGCCCAACGTAGGGCTATGATAGACTTTTCTCGAACAAGAACTCTTTCCATCCGCCATATTACATCTTATCTTTGTTATTCTACTTATAATTCATCAAAATTCATACTACAGGATCAGCCAATGTATGGTAGAGGGATGTAGTTTGAGAAAAGTAAACATAGTTGTTAGGAAGTATTAACTTTGCTATGCCATTATTATTCATCGACCGTAAAAAACGTAAATTCAGAATGTGACGCCCAACGTGGGTGACTTGTTACATTTTTCTCGAACAAGTTTCCTTTGTATAGCCTCCACCATACATAGACCAAGATGACTAAAATTTAACACGGTAAATTTAAAAAGTGGCGCCCAACGTGTTTGGCTTTTCTCAAACTAGAACTCTTTACATACCATAACACCGCACATAGTATGGAGGATATATTACCTTTGTTTCAAAATTGGCGCCCAACTTGGTGTGGAGAATATATTACCCTTTTTTTTAAGTGGCGCCTAACGTGGGGCTATATTCGACTTTTTTCGAACAGGCACTGAGTTAGACTTTTCGCTAACAATAACGCTTTTCATACCATACCACCAAACATAGCATGGAGGATATATTATCTTTGTAAAAAAACGTAGCACCCAACGTGGGGCTATACTACACCATTTTTCGAACAAGATCTCTTTTTATACCTTCCACAATAAGAAGTTTGTAACTTATTGAAATAGTTATTTAAGATCCGACTAAGCATATATATATATATATATATATATATATATATATATATATATATATATATATATATATATATATATATATATATATATATATATATATATATATATATATATATATATATGTATATATATATATATATATATATATATATATATATATATATATATACTTAGACGGCGTAAAATGTGACCGCCCAATTTCCGATTTATATAAAGATTTATATGATATTTTCCATCTGAATTAGCCATCATTTTCTATTTGGGTTCCCATTCGAAATTAGACCTCCTTTTTTTGTTATGGTATACCAGTCTCAAACGACTTCAGGAACTTCTATATATAACTTTGAACTTCGATATAATTTGAAGCGCTCAAAAACAACATCAATCTTCTCAAAAAAAAAAAAAAAAAATAATAATAATAAATAAATAAATAAAATGAAATCGGTTGGCCTTTTAATATACTTCGGTTCCGGCAGATTTTAGTAAATTTTAAGAATATTTCGAGGGTTTGCAGACATGTTATTGTCATATTCAGCTAAAGATCTCATTACAAA